TGTTTCAATATCGGGGAAGGGATTGTCCACCTTCGCCTAGCCCAAGAGGCCGGTCATAACCATCAGGCCAAGAAAAACATGAAGGATTGTATCTCCAAGGAGGGGAGAGCCTGGCCTTTCTCTGCCAAGTGTCCAGTCAGCAGAAGAATATGCTGGCGACGTTTTACTTCATTCTTGGCTCTGGAAGGCTACCTCCCATGAACAGCACTAAGAGCAACAATGGCAACAAGATATGCCGCTTGCAACGAGCCATGATTGGCTACATTGCACCTGACATGGCAACAGCACCAAACCCATCTCATTGCTGGTAACGGTCAGACAAAAAGAGTGCTCTGGGTAGGACTGGGGGGCAGCAACAGCCTGACAGGTTTGAGACTGGGCTACCCTGTAGCGGCCTGACCTACTGCGCGCCGAGACTTGGACGAGAATCCGAGTCTAGCAGTTGCGGGTCTAGTTTCCATTGAAGGTTGAAAGGTTTGGGGGCTTCGGGCTCAGGATTTATGGCTTGGAGGCATACCGGGCTTCATCGGTCAGTACATAAGATCATTTTTGAGATATTATACATGAATGGGCATTACAGGTTTGAGGTCCAGGGCGAATCATCAAGAGGAGATGCGGGACAGCGACCGCTTGCAACTCTGCAGCCCTCTTGTTGTGAGCAATTAAGTATCCCGGCATTTTTGGATGCGTAGCCGTATGAGCAAGAACTTCACTGAGATGTTTTGATGTTTTTTGCTCGCCCAACCCTTGCATCTCGAATCTCAACCAGCAACCTTTCTATTTCTGAGCCGAGACGAATATATGGAATCATTCCGCAGGGGCAGCAGCTACGCGTGGCAACAAGCAGCTGATCGCACCCTAAGCGTCAGCATCCCCAAAAGCATTGCAAGCCGTCAAGTTGCTTCAGCCTAACTCATGTTTTGAGGCTTGCGAATTGCTACGAGCACTGCCGTGCCAGTGGCGAGTACGAAAAGGCTTCTGAAGATCCCTGGTCTAGCTGAATTTGGACGTTAAATCTAGGGTGCAGGATGTGAGGTTTAGGATGTAACTTAGGTTGAGGGTTCATGTCATCGGGATTGTCTAGCGGCTTGGTGAGTGTGGGTGGTGAGTGCGCACATGAAGTGCTCTTTGGATGATGCTTCTAAGCTAAAACCTCAAAACCCTAAACAGATGTGAGCTGTGGAGGCATGCTGGCAAAGTTCATGCTGTCCTAGCCGTGACCACGGACAAGTTCTTGGGGTTGAGGGTTCAAAGTTTAGGGTCCACAAGCTTCCAACCTGAGACTTTTCGAGCTTCGAGTTGCCTGATCTGGTTATTCAGCCACGGCATTCAGGGCTGGGGCTATTACAGGGTGTCATCCTTATGGACAGATACACATGACTCAGATGTCGTCTAAGCACGTCTGAAAATCTTGGCGGGTCCGCTGTCCGCAAGGCCTTCCCTCAGCGTGCGGAATAATTACTGACTTAGGCGGCTCTGAGACGGAGTTCAACAATTCGGACTTCAACTACTACGCGCGAAGCCTGGGTTCAGGCTTTGGGCTTAGTATGGGCATTTCAATATGTGCTGAAACGAGTTCAATTCTAGTTATGCTTATACACAATAATAACCCAAAACCCGTCCTGATGCTTCTGGGACCTAGTCATAAGTCTCCCCTCGCGTTCCTAGCCATGCGCTATTTCTGCTTCACAAGCTTCTCTGTGATCTCGAGAAGTTTTGAGGAGCTGCTGGGGCATAGGGGGATTCTGAGGAGATTCTGAGCATGCTACGAGGCAGTACCAAACAAGTCCTATGCTATGACATCAAATCTAGGTAGACAAGTGCTTCTATTATACCAACGTCATTTATGGCAGCAGGTCCAAACCAAAGGCTTGTAACAAGGCCGCGCACCGCACTGGCGACATGCCCCGTTGCAAGGGGTATGTAACAGGGACGGCCATTTCGCGACAAGCCCTCCAATTTCACTTTTGGCATAGCCATGCGACAGGACGCGACAAGGGATTTGTAACAGGGCCGGCAAGGTTTGGTAACAAAGTTTGTGACAGAGGGTTGTCGTTCTGTGCGTTGGGGCACGGGGTTTCCACTTGCAGCCTTTTCCCGGGCCATGCATAACACTACACTCCAAGTCCTTGAACGTGGGTTTGTCAGCGGCTTGTTAGTTCCAAGGTTCTTCAGCAGTGAAGTTTCAAGAGCCGCTCTTATTGTACAGCCTTAGATAGAACCCCCGGACTGGGCTCAGTTTAGATGCCTCACAACGTGCACCGTACCACGGATTGAGAGTGATTCCGAGGCTTGCACTTTTACGGGCAGTGACTGCATGGAACGGTGTGGGGCTCGGTTTGGATTCAGGACTTGGAGGGCTCAGGTTTAGGATGGTTTAGGGTTGTGGATGGTTAAGGGGTTTGGAGTTCAGGATGGTTTTCGGCTTACAGGCATTAGGATCATATGTAAGTTCCTTAGAATCAAGGTTTAGGCGTTAATGCCGGCCGTTACTGGGTTGAAGGGTCTGGGGCAGAAGTAGGCGGTTGGGTTCAGATGTCAGTGAAATCCCAAGCCTACATGTCGCTTCAAATGTCATTTCTATCCTACAGTGCGGGAACGTAATAAAGGGAGCCTTCCTACGGATGCTGGGGCTGGAGCTGCAGGTGCAGACTGCAAGTCGTATTGCCTGTTGTTGAAGTTTTGGGTGATCCAGCGTTCACTTGGGGTCTGCTGCTTGGCGTCCAGTATCATATCTACATGTATGATGCCAGAGGAATTCTTGAGGCCTCAGCGCAGGCAACCTAGGCGAAGATCCCTCATGCGGATGGTGCTGATTGCTGAATATTGCTGACACATAGATCTGTGCATGTCTCGCCGCTATCAATCGTAGGCTAGCTAGATTGCATGTTTGAGGACTTGATGTTTTTCGGATAGAGCACATTCAGCCCCTCCTTCAGGGGTTGTGTTGATAGGCCTTCTCAACTTCAGTGACACCTCCGCCCATGGTTCTTGCCACACATGGTAATCAGCCTCTGAAATGTCGACCCATTCGATTGCTTTGGAGATACGAGCTTCGTTCTCGGTGCTCCTTTGATGAGAAAGTATGCCTGACACTTTTCATGCTTGAGGCTTGAGCCAAATCAACTGTCTAGCGGCTCCGCTGAAGTAATCCTAGACTTGACCGACCGCAGTCCCTGCTGAGCTTTAAATGGCCTGGACAGCAGAGCAAATCCGCGGGTAGGTGAAGCGTGAAAATTTATCTGGCCTGGTTTCTGAGAACGCTGAGGAGCTTGTAGCCGTTAGGGCGGCTGCAAGCTCCTCTGCGTGCTCAGCAACCAGCCCAGACAGGTTTTCGCGCTTCACCCACTGGCGGATTGCCTCTGCCGTCCAAGCCATTTCGCTCAGCAGGGACTGTGTCTGGGATGTCTTCAGCTGAGCCGCTACTGACAGTAAACACATGGGTTCGCATGCTGAGGCGAGGTGAGGCGTTGTCTCCACGGATTTCCTCTGCTGTCCAGGCCATTTAGCTCAGCAGGTGGCGCTACTCAAGGGCAACTCATCGGTTTGCATGCTGAGGCAAAGTGACTAGACCTGTGGCAAGTCGATACGAAGCGGAAGAAGAAGAGGAAGGATCTGCCCAGGAGCCGCTGAGCAACCATAAGAATGAGGCTCTGGCATTGGCTGACGGAGATGAGGTCGGGGACGAAGGACGAAGACAATGATGAGTGGAAGTTCCAGGGAAACTGAGGAGCGCGAAAACGAGCTTCCGGAGCAGGCAGAGGCCATCCACGAGAAGTTCCCCCTCGAAGGCCAACTCACGGAGCCTGACCTCAAGGAGTCTCCCTCAGAAGCCCGCTCTTCGAGTGCGAAGAATTTCGATTCCCAAGAAAGCTTCGCGTGGATATGGGCTTTGCAGATGTTCCAGCGCTTCACGCCTGAAATGGCGGTGAAGCAGCATGAACTATTGCACTCTGTCCCTCAACATAGCAGGACGTGACATGCGCAGGGCGACGCCGAAGGCGCTGATTTCAAGCACTTACGCTGCGTTGGTGCAAAAGTCCGCTGTCGTTCGACGCTTCTTGCTCTCCCCATACCCTGACTCTTTTCAAAAAGTTGCGCTGTATTCCTCTTTCATAGCAGCAGTCTGCAGTTGACCTACGTGTGGTTGATCCGCAGACGTTGTTTTGTTAGCATAAATCCCATGCAGCAACTCCAAGCCCTCAAACCCATCTAGAACCTCGCACCTGCAAGGTGCAACGCGCGCTTCCAGTCACGACGCTGTGTTGGAAGCTGGGGCCCTAACTTGCTGTATGTTCCTTCAAGACCGTGCAATCATAAGTGTACTCTGACAACGAGGATTTTGAATTTGTCTAGTTCAGGCAATCGTTCATCCTACTGGGGGAAGCCTAAGTTTCTGTGTCAGTGTGCGGTCATACGACTTGTTCAGAATGGCATTGGCTTTGCCTTAAAATCTCTTGCGGGTTCAAGGCGCAGGGCTTAGGCCTCTAGGTTTTATGGGATTAAGCTTAAGTTTTCGGTGTTGCTTCCTGGCTTGTGGTGCTGTCTACTGAGGCTTTGCCCCTGAGCTGACTTCCCAACTATGACCTGCTCTTGTCTGGTCCGATTTTCTGGGTTTTGGGCTGCCGAGTCATCACGGCCGTGTTCCTGGTACTAGCTTGGAAACCCGAAAAGCCCGAGGACGGATCATGTCCACCTTGGAACTTTCATTCTAGAAGCTTATAGTCCGCCTTTATTAGATAGAATATGGGGTATGCGGGGATCTTATTATAATATACCCAAAGCCATATTCTATCTACTTAAGGGGGACTATAGAAACTTTGGGATGCAGAGCACCCTTAATTGAATTTCTTCGTGGTATGATTGTACCACACAGCCTTAGCTCACAAGCTTGGAGACTCAGGATTCTGTGCTATTATGTGTGCCGTGTTGCTTTGTGGCTCTTAGAGCATTTGTTAGTACAATACCTCCCTGTGGTTTGAGACTTACCAGCTAGGAAGATGGCTTGCTTCACGTCATGGCTGGCGACTCTGATTGGCGTGCTCTACGTCAGTTACGGGACTGCAAATGAGCTTGAGTTCCCTTCCAAAATGATTTCCCACTAGCTTACACCTGTAAGAAATCTTGATTTGCGCAGACATTTCAAGGTAAGATGGTTTTGCGCGGTGTGGTGGTAGCTGGATCGTGCAGACATCCCAAGCGCCAGTCAAACTTTAGGCATGGGTTCCATGTGCAAGGATCAACAGTACTATTCCGTGATGGCTACCATGCAAAAGCTGAGGCATTGTTGTTGGAGTTCGTCCGGGTTCAGGCTTGAATGCAACGGAAAACGCCAGCGGCCAAGCAGAGCGCACAACAGACTGTTGTTGCTACAATCCCCCACGCGACAAGACCTTCAAGAACTATGGCAGCCTCAATGGTGACAACTGTCCCCTCTATAAGCATGGCTACCGTGCATGCTTAAAGGGAAGCAACAACGGTCAGCCTTGTAGTGGCGGGTACAAGGACAAGAACGACTTGTTCTGCGACACTTACTCGGTGATGGACTGCTTCAGCAAGTTGGTCCGCGGCATTGCCTACATCCCCTCAAGCAACAACAACAATGGCTGGAAATGGTGAGAGCCCTGACCCTGGCTGTACCTAAGGCTCCAGTCACGCCAGATAGTGGGCTTCTGGCTTACGTAAAGCAGGAAATTACAGGTATTAGGACCATGAACCCACCATTTACGTGGCTGGAAGTGCATGGGTAGGTCAAGCGGCATGCCATGTCCAAAGGCTCTGCTTTGGAGCAGACCTTTGCCCTGCAAGCTTGAAAAAGGCCAGTCTCAGTCTTGTTGTGCTATGAGCGGTTTTGCGGGCACATCCATGTTCACGACGACCCCCAAAAAACTAATGATGTGTTCAAGTAGGGGTCTTCCATCTCATGCTCCAACAGAATCTAGTGATTGGAACTTCCCTGGAGGGACCGGTCTTTGGCGACCTCTTGTCTTGTTGAAATGGGTTGATTCAAGTCAGTATTCCATAGCTCTCAGGACAGCTACATCACACATCACTTCAACTAGGATCTTGGATGCTTAGCTTATTGAATTTCCTGATGTTCTCCAAGTTCACTAGAGCACAGGATTCTGGTTGCAACTGCGGTTGTCGACTTCCGGCTAACGATTGAAGGCTCCGTCTGAAGTCTCAGGCTCTACAACGTTTGCCGGCTGGGTTTATTGGGAGACCAGAGGAAAAGAGTGTTGGTAGTTTAATGTGCAGCGTTACATATTCACCAGCAGGTTGGTTGTCAAATATACCTATCTGTACTTGCTCACGCTGTCGCACTAATCTCTCCACGAATGTCTTCCATAGTCCTTACATACCTGTATGGAGCCTCTACAGCCCCTTCCCCCTGGTCTGTAGTAGGCTTACGTAGGATCCACGAGAATGCCTCGGTGTCCGCTTCGATGCATTGCAGAGGTACTAAACTGTAGCACTTGAGCATGAAGGTACTTACAACAAGTACGTACATGTGTTTATGAGTATGGGGTCAGTCCCCGAAGCAAAACCCTGAAACTTCGACCGTACATGCTAAACCCTACAACCAGGCAGGACGAGCTTTCTCAAACCTTTGCTGCAGTGTATTCAGCATAAAAAGAGGAAATGGATCCATAGAAAGGCCCCCTACATGGTCCCCACATCCGGATGTCCCCGCTCAGAATATTGGAATGTTGGACATTTATTCCCCATTCATTCCCCTAGAAGCTCTTGTTAGCCCATGAGCTAAGTCATCAAACTTTGAGCTCTTGTATGTGTCATCAAGAAGATGGTATGGTCCTTGCGATAATCAGGAGATTCCTGACCGTAAGTGACCCCGTTAGACATGAGAAGCCTCACCGAACCCTGAGCGGACCAACTAGCGCGAAGTTTTTGAACATCAGTAGCGCGTGGGGGGTTCATTTTAGCAGCCACAGAAGCATCATCTGTTTGGTGAAAACCAGCAGAAGAGGGGATCATGGCTTTGCAACCGCTGGGCCTGAGATGGGTCTTACAATTTGTCTACCAGCAAGACATGCCATCGTTGTGCACCTTACCCCCCCAGCTCTTCTCTACGCTTACTAAGGCAACCCTAAACTGGTAACCCTTACTGTAACCTGGAGCGTGCGAGGTAAGAGCTACTGCCCGGTACTCGCGAACTGCTACGAGGACAGAAGGAGGTTTCAGTCATCATCACTAGCTTGGTCGGTAAGACAATTCAAACAATTTCTCTGATGGGTGCTACTGCGGCTCTATGTACTGATGCTTGAACTAAATGCCAACCTCAATTGTCATCATCATCATCATCATCATCATCACCATCATCATCATTATCATCCTCATCGCCACAACTGCTTTGCTGACCATAACCAGCACCATCAGCATTGCCAACAAGAGTGTCTACCGTACTGTTGTATTGCTACGAGTGCGGTTCTGCTTCTGGATTATGCTCAGTGACATTCTGCTTACACTTCTTGTTCTTGCTGTTAAGGTGGCTTTCTCATGCCTGCCACTGGTTGGTTTTCTGCTGTGATCGTCACGGTTACCCTCGCTGATCTCGTCCAGGGTGAGAAAGCCAACCAGGGATGCTGCCTGGTAAGGAGTCTCTCTTCAGACGCAAATTTCTACATGCAAAGTTTCATCCACCTTGCCCTCCAGGTTTCTGGTTGTGCCCCGGGTCGGTGTCTGAAACTTTCCCTGGACATCCCATGCTGCTGGTATGCGGTTGACTTTTCAGACTGCGTGGCGCACGTCCTCAATGCGGTATGTCTTGACGAATTGGCATGCTTGCTTTGAAGGCTCCACCTTAAACACGGCTAGCTGGGTTCGCTTTTACCTTGAACTAAATCTTTTCAAACTGGGTCCAGGTGCTACTACCAGGCCTGTGGACTGATGTTGGATTTCCTGTAGATGTCTCTTGCATGTTTTGCTCAAGGCAACGTCTTTACTGGATGGATGCAGCATGCAGCATGGCCCACAGCCCAATGGAGCATGTATGGTCCTTTTACATCCCTCCGCCCAACACCTCCTCAGAACTCCCCAAATCACGTTGAAAGGCCTGCCGACTCTCCCACAAAGCGGGGAGCTGTGGCGACTTTGAGCATTGCCCACGGCCAGGGCGCCAAGCATTGAGCTAGCTTCCGATAAATTCTACTTACGATCATAATGTTTCCTGTTCATGTCCCGAGTCCGGGCTGAGGACAAATCTCCCATGGTGTGGGTTGTAGCTTCTGGTTCCACAGAGAGTTGCACGGAGAGATTCCTTGTGGTGGAGGCCTTTCAAACTGGCCAGTCTTATCGTCGTGGGGGCAGTCTGCCCAGGGTAGCCGTGAATTGCGAACCTACTAGGTTGAGACTACCAGGTTTCGCAGGCATGTATGTTCCAACATAGTTCTCACGGGAACCTGGATTCTGGAACCTCACCTTCCTCGGGCCTGAGTAAGTTCCATGCCGTGATCTCAAGCTTGTCCACACAGCTCTGTACAATATGCCATGGCCCATGAACCCTTCCGGCTACCCGCGCCTGTCCCGGATTACATTGAAAAGTGCCTGACATCTTGCCTGCACTGATTCAGAACCTTCAGTGAGAGATTTTGCAGCTGCACAACTTGTCCGGAAAAAGGGGCTCGCAACAGTTCGTTTTCAGACTTCTGTCGTCCAGACCTTCGGATAACAGAGTATTGTGTAGCAGGAATGGAAGAAGCGCTATAAAGCTCTAAGTCCTCCTTCCATATTGTTGCTGTGCTACTCGTTCGGAAAGGCTGTTCTACAATCCCACCTCAGAACATGCAAAGACCGGCATATAACAGCTGGCAAAGCTTCACACACACCTTCCGTTTAAGAGTTCAAGGTTCTGCTGTATCAGGACTGTCTGCGGTTTTAAATGGTTGTTCCCCAACACATGCTGTGCTATGTTATTGTTTCCGACCTTTGCGATTAGGCGAACAAGTTCAGTGTGTGCAGCATCAGTTGCGGCGCTTAACATCGTCACAGATCATTCCTATGTTGGTCTCTGGAACAAAAGTTTAATCTATGGGCTCACGAGGTCAACAAGCAAGCAAATTGCACCGTTTGTTACAGTTTGACTGTTTGACAGAATAGCCACAATGCCGGAATGTAATCAATGAAGCCGAGGAAGCGGGACTCCTTCAACAGCTCCACTCACTCGTTCTTCCAGCTGGACGCTGGGCCCCGGGTGGGATTTGAGGGGTTAACTGCTTTAGGTTGTGGAGGCTGAGTGTTCATGGTTTCTGTGCATAATGATGGGATTAGGTTCAGCAATCTACGTAAGCTTTGCAGCCCTCTGTTCAAATTCGTGCCCACCGAAGCAATGAGTACGATTGCACCGTTGGGCAGGCCTGTGCTTGCTTGAGCAGCCGAGCCTCAAGCTTGCCACACGAGATGGACTTTCCTGTCATATATTTTTGTATATGTTCAGGAGACGTATGAAAACACAAGATGGCAAACGGCTTATGTTGCATGATCACCCCACCCGTTTCGAGAAGACATGTCTCCGTGTATGCTGCTGATTGCTGACATACTATTGATTTGGACCTTTCTGGCCTAGATGAATTGCAGGCTAGATTGCATGTTTTGGAGGTTGACGTGTTTCCAAAAAACTCCTTCCAGGTTTGTTTTGGGAGGCGTTCGCAGAGTTCAGTGCCCCATCCGCCCCTGCTCCTTGTGTGAAACTTGGTTTGTTGCTGTATGATCTCTCAAACTTGCTAGCTGAGATCAACAGTGCATGCCACATGTGAGGAGTGAGGAGTGCTTGTTTTGTAGAACTTTTGAACGGACGCATTCAAGCAGAACTGCGCAGGTGGTCTGCCAGAAGGCGAGCACTAGCACTGCCACAGGTCTAGTCACTTTGCCTCAGCATTCGAGCCGATGAGTTGCCCTTGAGCAGTGCCACCTGCTGATGGCCTGGACAGCAGGTCAGATCCGTGCATGGGTGAAGCGTGAAAGCCTGTCTGGGCTGGTCGCCGAGCATGCAGAGGAGCTCGCAGCCGGTGGCGGACTTCAAGCCATAACACCTGAATGGCTCTCCCAGCACGGGGTACGCATGCTGGCCCCCCGGCAGAAGATCTTCGCCGCTGTTCGATGCGCGCTCGTGCCAGGCACGAAGGTGTGCCGCTTCGGCGAAAAAGAGATTAGGCGGTACGAAGCCGAAGAAGAAGTAGAGGAGGAAGGACCTGCTCAGAGACCTCAGAGCGACCACAAGAAGGAGGCTGCAGCATTGGTGGGCCGCCGAGAGGAAGAAGACGACGAGGACGAAGATGAGGGAGAAGACGAAGACAACGACGAAGAAGCTCCAGAAGCACCCCAGGAGTGCGAAAGCCATCTTCCAGAGCAGCAGGACCTTATCCAGCTTGCGGCTTTCCGTGAACCCTGTGGAGCGAACTCACAGAATTTCACCTCAAGCTCGAGGAGCCTCCTTGACGGATCTGCTCCGCGAGCTTGCACAAAGCAAGTTGATTGTGAAGAACGCTTTGCATGGAAATTCATGATTAAGATGTTTCAATGCTTTACGCCCGAACTGGCGGTCATGCACATGCCGTGACGTGAACCTGGCGACGCCTAAAGGCGCTGATTTCAAGCCATTG